GTTTTAAAACATTTTTAGAATTGTTGTAAATTTGCAAACAAATGTTAAAACACAGCCATGCCTAGAACCCCTTTATTGAGGGTATGAGCAGCGGTATGGGGGAGGAGTTGCTGCAGCAGCACCGAACTATTTCCTATCTCCCCCCACTTCCGGGCACATCAGAATCCTGTAGGGTGTCCCAGACATCACCTAAGCCCTCTGGAGAGGAGGGTGCATAGGATCTCTAAGACAAAGAGCCTATCTTCCAGGATAGGCTGTCTGTCCCTGTCCTGGTGGTGTGGGTGAATTTCAAAACACTAAGTGCTCATAGCCGAGTCACACATAAGATTATAAAGATGAGCTCAATGGGACTCCTGCACTGGTCTAGCTCAGAGTCTAGCAGAGAAGACAGGAGCGTGAACAGACTGACTTAGGTTGTTGAGTATATGTTAGTGAAGGCTTTGTGTCAAGTAATATAATAAGCACACGAGAAAGGAATCTACTGATTCTGCCTTCTGAGTTGGAAAGGGCTTCACTGAGGGTGCATTTGATGCCGGCTCCAAAAGGTGGATTTTGTGGATGTGAGGGAAGGACGTTTCAGACCAAGAGACCAGTACACGCCAGGCACGGGACACGAAAGCTTGTTACCACATTTTAAAGGCCCTGTGTTCACACCTCTAGAATACAAGTGGAGTCAAGGGAGGTTTGAATGGAGATGCTGGTGGTGACAAGTTGTGAAGGACTTGATAAAGGAAGTTCAAGAGCTGAGATTTTATCCCTTAGAGCTGGGAAGGATCATCTGAGAGTTTAAGCTCAGGGAAGGAGACAGGAGCAGATCTGTGTTTAAACACTGAGTGGAAATGTTAGGTGAGAGCCTGGGAGGCCAGTGGCAAAGTTGCAGTATTCCACATAAGAGATGAAGATCTGAACTCAGCCTTCAGGAAGGAAATGTGCTGAGCCTGACTCAATTTGGGAGACAGGGAGCAGGATGACTGAGGTTTCTAGCCTAGGTGATCAGGTGGACCCTTGTGCCTTTTTGTGTTGTCTAGTGTGGCAGGCAGGCAATAACATAAGTCTTCAAGATGGCCAAGCCCAGGCCCAGGGATGCTCCTTGGAGTCCTGGCAGCAGTAGGCTGATTTGCTGAGACTTGACTCACTTGCTGCCCAGAATGACTGCCTTGGGTCACACTCCATGCCTCCGCCTTCACTGCCCATGGTGACTGGGTAGAAGGCTGGCTCCTTTCAGTCACCCCGGTACTGTCCCGCATACTGCTGTGGACAGGCCCACCCCTCACTCATGCTTTCAGCCGCCTCTGCCCTTGACGTCTGCCTGAGACAGTCTACTTTCACTGGTTTCCACAGTATATGTGGTTTCCACAGCACACTACATGGTAGCGTCTAGCCGAGTGACTAGTCCCAAAAGAGGTTCATTAGTCTTTGGACAGGTCTCCTACACAACTATTTCTGTTCTGTTGTCAGTTTTACACTAACTTACTGTTAGAGCCTGTGAGGGGCACTCAAGTGGGTGTGAAAATACAAGTATCCCAGGTCGAACGAGGAAACTGGTCTGCTGAAGTACTTGCTGCCAACAGGCCGTTGAAGATAATATAACGTTTGCTAATTTAGGTCTGAAAATTATGACTGGAAAAGGTTAAAATCAGCAAGCCTGATTGATTCAGTAGTTTGCTTATAAAAGGTTTTCTAATGGATATTTCCAATGTGGCGACGCTTTCAAGCATCGAGGGTGCCTAGGTACCCTGTGGAACGTGCTGCACTTATTCGCCTTCCCCACGTGGGTTCCCAGTTCTTGTTGCTACATCCTCAGCTGATGGTGCTGAAGGTACCGAAACTCCAGTCTCGCCTGCCGTTAACAGCCTCTTGTGTGTTTCTTTTCTTTTTAAACCTTTCCAGGCTGATGCACCTAACCCAGGACTCATTCCAGATGCAGACGCAGTAGGTGTAACAGTTGTGCTAATTACTTGCACCTATCGAGGTCAAGAATTTATTAGAGTTGGCTATTATGTAAATAATGAATATACTGAGACAGAATTAAGGGAAAATCCGCCAGTAAAACCAGACTTTTCTAAGGTAATGTTCTTCATGTTCCTTTGTAATTACTTCTACTATACAATTTTTTAAGGAGTTGCTATTGCTATTTCACAGCATACTATGAAATGGCTTTAGCACAGAATAAATCTGAGGTCCTTGTGCCAGTGGGCACACTAATTATTGTTCCGTTACCATGGGTGACCTCAAGCCTCCAGATTAGTAATTAGTGTTGGGCAGACACCTTGAGCATCTCTGGATGGTTCAGAAAATGAAAGTGCCTCTTGTAAGCAGCAGGCCTTTGTTGTGGCTTATCTGTATAGCATTTCCCATACATCGTGATGCTATTCATTTCACCTTTTAGGACGAAGAATGCTTGTTTGTTGTACTTTTCAATAGTGATATTTTTTGTACGTAACTCTGCCCACAATTGTGTTGTGTTTTTCATGTGAATGCTGTAATCTAGGAACACCTGTATGCTTTATCTGCTATTCTTAGAGGTTAAACTAAAGGTTTTAACTATTTCTGGTGACGGGAAGGAGTTTAAATTCTGAGAAGTTGAAGTCTGTGATTTCAACATTTTCAAAGACACTTAGTACCCTGTGATTTTTCATTGGAAACTGTAACAGTTTAGTAACTGGTGATTTTGTGAGGTGCAAAGTAAATGAAAATGAAGGTAAACATGACATTCTTATCTGCCAGACTACAAGAAAAATCACAAGAACTAGAATAGGATGTTCTCCTTTCTGATAATAAGGCGGGACTATTTTTCATCTGTGTGTGGGACCTTGCATTGATCCAACTTACTAGTTACCTCTAAGGCACCTGTAGAGCAGAAAAGAAACTAGGACAGCACTAAGAATGAGCCATCTTTACAAGGAAACCATTAATAATGAGGTTATATTTGATAAATTTTTCACTTTCTAAACTGCATATCAGTTTGTTTAATAAGACATCTTGTAAAGTATTCACCTTCAAAAAGGAAGAGATTCTCTTTTAGAAAATAGAAGTATAGAGGAGTTAGACACTTTGGTGACTAGTAAAAGACCTGAATGTGTCCCCTCAGATTCTCCCTATCTTGTTACCACTCAATCTAAAATAATCTCTTTGCTACAGTCCTAATCCTTACCTTAATTATATATTTGGATTATACTTCTGGATATGAACTTAGCCCTTTGAGAGTACTATCATGAACTGTTGTATTAAGCTCTTACTTTCATATAGTGATCTAACTTTCTTAGTGTTTACCATCTATGTTTCCTTTTTCCTCTAGCTTCAAAGGAACATTTTGGCATCTAATCCCAGGGTCACAAGATTTCACATTAATTGGGAAGATAACACAGAAAAACTGGAAGATGCAGAAAGCAGTAATCCAAACCTACAATCACTTCTTTCAACAGATGCGTTACCTTCAGCATCGAAGGGATGGTCCACATCAGAAAACTCGCTAAATGTCATGCTAGAATCCCACATGGACTGCATGTGACCACCTGTCACCCTTTAGAACAAATTAAGCTATTAAAAACACACAGAACTATTTCCCTGAAATTCCGTAAGTACATAGTCAGAACACAATGTGAAGAATTTGTTTAAAAACATCCTGTAGAAAGTTTATAAGAAAACCAGTATTTGAACAAATTGTGGAATATAAATACAACTATTTTTAAGTAATTTTTTCTCTAATGTGTTATTTTATTTGTTCTGAAACTAATCTGATTAAAGCATATATATTATTTTCTTCTCCTTTATATGTAATTAAAGCACTTATATAGAAAAATATGAATCATTAGACCAGGCTGTAAAGACATTTTAGCCTCTTGGACAGTAATCTTTGGACCATTATTTAACTGGTCTTTGCAAGAACAAAGTTCATTTCACCCGAAATGTCTTCCTGCGAAGACATATAGTGTGGTTTTAATTTAAGGGCAAATTTTCATTCTTTTTGGGCATGTCCTTAAAAGGGGATTTGAAATCAACTATATGCTATCAAGAACTTTAGAACCCTATTTTCCAGGTCACCCTAAAACCTCTTATGGCTACTCCTGAAGTTGGTATAATTGTTGGGCAGCATTTGCTTTGGTTTCAAAGAGAAGAACAAATGTGGCCCATTGTTTATAAGCTTCCCTGGCCATGGTTTTGTTTCTGTGACAGAGTTTAGGACATCAGAGCACTTCTTGAATCACACATCATTATTGCCCAGTGAATTTAAAACCAAATACAATATCTAGAGCAAGTAAGAGATTATAATGGCTCAGATTTGATCATTAGATTTATACAAATATTACAAACTTCAAAAAATTCTTTTGGTAGGTCATTTGTTGTTAGCAGTATTTACATAAAAACAGTCGATTTAGAAAGATGTATGAGATCATAACAGATAAGCTAATGTTTTGGAAATGTGTATTTTCACACCTGTAGTATACTCTTACCCATTTCTTGACACTCGTGAAGAATGAAGTCAGGCATATTTGTGGTTCACATATTCCAGATAGCTTTTCTAGGTGAGTTTTTGAAAAGCAATCTTTTAAAGAAATTTATTAACTAAATGGGCTAGAAGTTTTGTTTTGTTTTGTTTTGGGGAGTTAGTTTCTTCCTCAAAAAATTTCTTATGCCCCATAGAATTAAGGGTAGAATGTTTTCACTACTCTTGCTGCTAAGCAAGAAAGCCATGTGATGCAGGTCATGCAGTGCCTTCACAGCTGAAACTTTTATGCTGCACTTTTTAAAGCTTTTATGTTGAGGAGAGAAAAGGGCCTTTGTCTAAACATGGATTCTAAGTTGTATATATTTCCTATCATTCTAAAAAGTGGATTTGTGAAGCAAAGTTTTGCCAAATGTTAAACTTTGAATTTAATACATTAGATTATTAAAATATTGTCCATTAACTAGCTCATAGATTTTAAAAGTAAAATACTTCTGACTGTTTTAAAACTATACGAAGAAAATCTCATTTTTGTCTAATTGCAATTAAGAGAAAATGTTAAAATATTAAAATGGAAATAAAAGCATTACTTTCCAACAAAGAGCTCAGTGATTCATATTACAGGAACAAGATATGTGCTTGCTAGAAATACGGCATATGTAAATTAGGTCACCAACTACAGCAATTTACTGCTGAGTTTTTATTTTGACTAATTAATAACTTAAAGTGACATCAGAGTGTCAGGTTTTTACATCAACAGCCAATTGCCACGAAATTCGGGGCATACAGACTATTATCTTTCATTGTCTTAAATTTTATGGCTCTATAGGAATTTTTAAGAATTAGTGACTAAAGGTAGATTTACCTACTGTAGAATTTATATTCTACAATATTTTATATTTATATTTGTCTTTTCTCTCATATTTGGAATATGATCTTGGCATAAAAAGAGGGAAAAGTGCTATTACGCTTTTACACTAATTCACTAATCCAGAAAATCAGCGGCCCCAAAACTTTCAAACTGTCCCAATAGTCTGAGATTACTAGTAGCTCCCAAGATAGCTTGGACTCATTTCTTAGGAAACATTCCATGTAACTACTTGTGAAGCATCTTTGTTTGCTGTTGATGTAATTATTCAGAACTCTAGGGCACTGGGTCATATGAATGTTAAAATGCACAGGAAATGTTCTTTATATATTCTTGCCCACTTCCTTTCCAGTATCCTAAAACTTGTCAACTCCTCTTAATTCCATAAATTATTTCTTGTCAGTGCTTAATGTACTGTTCAGTTATGGTTCAAAACCCAAGAGCTCCTTACAAGAATTTCCCACTTATATGGGACCATTAGTGGAGCATTTTCTGTCATATGATAAATTTTAACTTTGGCTTCTCATAAGAAATTTGAACACAGGCCAGTGGAAGTTAGGTTCCCTTAACGAGTAGTAAAATGTGTTAAACCAAGGGCCTATTTTAGAAGAACAGGAGAAGCATTACCTTAATCAAAACTATGTAAAAACACGATATGGCATCAAAACACATTTTAAAAAATAATTCTTTACTAAATTCCCTAGGCCACTCTATTTATAACCATATCTTGGCATTCTACCCACAAAGGCTCTTAAGTGTCCTTACTTAAAGAATCATTACAGTGTATGAATGAAGTTCCGCACTGCGATGATGCAAGTATGCTTTCCAAACACCACTAGACACATTTTCTACCTAAGAAATCTCGTAGGTGTTGCTGTTGACTATCAGATCTATGAGCATAAAAATGCCTTAAAGTCTACACTCTCGTTATACTTTTATAAAGTGAAATTTCCCCCCATTTAGTTTATTTTGACATACTGTTTGCTGGGTTGTTATGAAATGCCAGATGATGTGTACTTTTTCCTGAATAAATAGGTAGGAAGGTCATCACTAGAGAATGAGAAAATCCAATAGGATCATTCAAAACTAAGTTGCAAAGATAGGAGCTCTGAAAACATTTTCTTGGAACTATAAAAACTGTTGCATATTTCCTTCAATTTTTGGCAATCACGTTCAAAATTTAACTCAGTTTACAAAAACAAAAAAACAAAAAACACTGTGTTAGCTTCTGTAGCAATATTAAATTACTCTAATTGTCAAATGAAATACCTGCACTAGTAGATCCAATTCCTGTGGTCAGCACAGATCTTGGTGTAATCTTGGCTGCATATTTGAGGAATTGAGATTTTCCTGTGCCGGGATCCCCCACCAATAAAAGATGAGATTCACCTAGGAAAGAGTAAATATATACAGTTTTAAATTCTACAAAAGAACCCATGAATAAGTATAATCAATCAAAAAGAAAAGAACTCACTTGGAATGCCAATACAATCTTAGAGTGTTTCTGCTGTATACTTTTATAGATGGTCATTTGAGGAGGAATTTAACTAGACAATCTTAAGAAAGTTAACTGTCATTATAAATATAATAGTCCTTTATTGATTATCGAATATGACATTTAAGATCTAAATTCTATTAGTAAATTATGTGCTATTTCCAGATGTTTATGCCTGTGCCTGCGTTTAACATTTTAAGGATTTTGGCTTAATAACATTTCTGATTTTATTTAATCTATTTTTTTTTTTCTGAGTTGGAGTCTCACTCTGTTGCCCAGACTGGAGTGCAGTGGCTGCTCCCGGCCACCACAGCCTCAACCTGCTGGGCTCCGGTGATCCTTCCGCCTCAGCCTTCCAAGTAGCTGGAACCACAGGTGCGTGCTATCACGCCTGGCTGATTTTTGATTTATTGTAGAGATGAGGTCTCGCCAAGTTGCCCAGGCAGGTCTCGAACCCGCGGGCTCAGGCCATCCACTCACTTCAGCCTCCCAAGGCGCGGGATTACATGCTGAGACACTGAGCCCGGCTGTTTTCAAATCTCAGACTATGTGATTATGTCTTTCCATATAACTTACACAAGTATTTTATCCTATTTTTAGTGAAGCACTTGTTATGAGCTTTTATAAGTGCTTTATAAATATCAAATCACTTACAATTTCAAGAGTTAAGTGAAAACCTTTCCATTTTATGAAAATTTTAATAATTTAGTGAAACATCTATCTTAAGATAATTAAGAACTCTTGTCTTCAAAGGTAACAAATGAGCATATGCATGTCATATCTGTGGCATATATTATTTCACTGACCAAGCACATTTCTCCAGTGGACACACGTATTGTCTGAATAAGTCAGTAGGAAACCCTTATTTAAGCTGAGTATTTAGCAGAGCGCCTTGCAAAACAGGAGGCGATCAAAACATGTACCGTGCATAAATCTTATACTTGCTATACGGTACTGGGTGGCCGAAGAGCCCCTGCTACAGCCTGAGGTATAATGAAGCCCTTCTGGTCTTAGGGTTTACTCTTGATACTGTGGCCCATCATAAATCAGCTTTATGCCAGACTCTGGTCAGTTAAGTGTGTTAGCTGCAAAAGAGCCTTCTGACATCCAGGCGTAACTGTGTGTGCAGAGTACTCTGCTTCCATGTGTGACCTACAGCAGCACCTCATGGCAGATGGCACGTTTGCTGCCTACCAGCAGAAGGGAGTCAGCAGGCAGATGACGGCAGGCAGCAGTCAGAGAGAAACATACTGACAGTCACAGATGGAGAAACACTGACTTGGAGGCATAAATGCACCACCTTTTTTTTTTTTTTTTT